ATATTGGTCAGGAGGGCTCCCTTGAGGGAGGCCTCATATTTGATTTTTTAATGCCTCCTTCAATCAAGGGAGGGTGCTAGGTTCTCTGTTGAAGGGCATCCTTGGATCCCTCCCCTCTTGACAATTAAAAAGTGGTTTCAGTTTTATTATTCTTGGTCAAGCAGATGGTGGCTGCACTGCTCCAGGTAATTCTGGATGAAATGTCTGGAATCATATTTTAATATCCTGATTTCTGGTCAAGGTATGGTATGGAGCAACATTGATCAGGTGGACATTTTTGTTCAGAGAGTATGAAAGTGGTAGTGTTTTTCTGCCTTGTACTTCTTGATCTTTGGACGGCTTTGATACCATTGAGTATAATGTTCTCCTGAACTGTCTTGTGGAATTGGGGGATGGAGGTGTGATTTTGTAATGGTTCAGCTTCTTCCATGAGGATAGGCTTTTTGATGGAGAGGATCACTGCTCCACAGTCCCTGAACCACAGAACCATAAGATTCCATCCTGTCCCCCATGCTTTTTAATAACTCAGTGAAGCTACTGGAAGTTGTTAGTGTGGATATAGAGTTGTGTGCCATCTGTATGTAGATGACTCTTACATCTACTTCTCTATTCCATCTGAATTACAATAAGTATGGCAATTGTTAAGTGGGTCAGCATGTGACTATGCCTGGTTTTCTATAGCAGTCATTAAATGAACACAGCAGTCATTAAATGAATCCATTTTATCTATGATAAAATGCTATGCTATGATCATTAAGGAAATGCTGCAGTCATTAAATGAATCCATTTTATCCAATGGCCATTTTTGGCTGGAAACGGGAAGTAAACACTGGAAACTGGCAAAAGCACAGAAATCATTTTTAAGAATGTTCATCTAATACATTTAAGTTTGAAGCGATTCAGTGTATTGTTTGATACTGCTATTATTTATGGATGGTATAATGTAGTTTGGGGTTGTAATATATTTTTGTAATTTCTGAACTTTTATAAACGTTTTTGATTTATGTTGCTAATCTTCTCAAGGAGTCCAGTGGTTATAAATTTGATGAAGAAACATAATAATCAGAAATGAAGCAATAGTAATATTTTCCCCACTTAGAACGACTACTTAGATCTTCCTTTGATTTCATGTTGATGTTTATTTATTTTATCCTATTTTTATTACTTTATAAATAATTGAAGGTGATGAATATACCTAATATGCCTTCTTCTTCCTATTTTCCACACAACAACAACCCTGTGAGGTGGATTGGGACTGAAAAAGTGACTGGCTCAAAGTCACCCAGTGAGCTTCCATGGCTAAGGTGGGGCTTGAACTCACAGTCTGCTGATTTCTGGGCCAGCACCTCCACCACTACATCAAACTGGTTCTCACATGTTGTTCTGATAAGAAAAAGCACACCGATTTCCTTTCCCTTACCAACAACCAATGCCTTGCCAAGGTAGCACAAGATTCATACCGGACCTTGCTGCTTCCCTCCTCATTCCTTCGAAATCCTTTCTCAGAGCCTGCCCCGATGAAAGCTGTGAAAACTTTGGGAGAGGTTGCTCTAAAGTAGGCCATTCATTTATTACCACCAATCATGTCCCAGCTTTACAGAACTGCTCCTGTAGCCAGGACAGCACAGAAGGGAATCAATTAGCTAAGTGAAAACTGTGATTCATTTCTTTAGAAAGATGGCTTTGGGGTAGCAAGTGAGAAGCCATTCTACAGTTTTTATTAATTACACTTGGATGTGGACAATTTTTGCACGGGGTGGGGGGTGGGGGAGGAGTGTATGGGTAATTGTGGATGATTTCCTTGAAAGGGTACCACCAAGCACATTCAAAGCATGGCGAATGCAGCTGGCATAACAGAATCTTCCTATCCTCCTCAAGAGCCCAGATTATTTGATTCAACCCCTGTTTTCCCGGATTATGGAAAGAGGCCCCTGTTGCTGCTGTTGCTCTGCTGGACCAGAGGAGTTACATTCTCCTCTGGAGGAATCTCTCTTTTGCCAAGGAAGCAGAGGAGGGGATTGGCAAGGTCTGTGCACCTCCTCTGCCTTGTTTTGGCTGCAGGGAAGTGAAAACTGCTAACCAGCCTAAACGAAAACAAGGAAAATTAAAATGTAGCACTTTCTTACTTCCTTTCCAGTTGGCCCTTTCTTCTCCCAGCTCCCTCCGCCCTCGTTTTTCTGGGGGGACAAAGGAAAACTTTCTGTGACAGCAACGATTATTATGGGAATCAAATTGAGAGAAAGCTCAACTGCAGGTTGAGGAGCAGATTCTTTTTAGAGCTGCAGAGCACTGAAGACTTTGGGGAACCAGATTTAGAACTCTTTGGTTTCATTTGGTCCAACTCCCAAACCTTTGATCTTAAGGCCATCTTTGGGTTGATCTGGCATATTTCCTTTTCAGTCTAGTTGAGAAGAAAATCGGAGTATGTCCACCTGATCCTAAGCGTTATTTTCACATTTCCATTGGGGAAAAAAGGAAGGAAGTTCCATTGAGATAGACGGGGCTTCTTTCCAAAGGGGAACGGCGAGGCGTCTGGGATTTAAATCCATATACGACAGCACCTCTATTTAGCCAAGGAAGGGTTTAGAAAACTCTATGCAAAGTTCGGAGTTTCGATGAATTCCTACTCAGAGAAAATGCTTAAAAATCCAGACTGTACAGGGACGGGGCTGGAGGAGGAGAGGAGTCATAGGACGCTGCGGTTTGAGTTGGGACCCCTTCAGGTTTCCGAATTGGACTGTTGAATCATTGTCATTATCCTAAGAGGCAGATAGCTTCTTTAAACGTCTGGGCCACCCAGATGTTTAAAAGAGGAGATAATTCGAAACGAGTCAGCGCTAGGTAGAGAGGAGGCCGGGCTGCCGTTTGGACGGGGAGGGAGAGAGAGCGAAGGACCTTTACTCGGGAGCAAGCGGACAGAGGGATTGTCCGCTGGAGAAATGTGCAGAAGAAGGTGGCTCTGCTCGGAGAACACACAACTAGAAGCGTCCTAAAGTAATTGCACGGCAGCCTGGTCGATGCACCGATTTCTTCGCCCATCTTTATTAGGCGAAACTCGAACAGCGCCCGAAGGCTGAGAAAACGATCATCGGAGTCTCATTAATAAATAGCTTTTCAAGATCAAAATGTGAGGCGGTCTTATTGTCTCATTTTCTTTCTTACGAACGACTTAAGCGAGAACTCCTTTCGCCAGGATCTTTCTTCGGAGAAGTCTGGCGAAGCTAAAGGGTTTGCTACTGAGTCCTGGAAAGGGCCCGTATGGTAACTCGCCTTGCCCGTTTCCCGACAACGCATTGCCATTCTGGTCGTGTGCCCGGGTCCATTTGTAGAAAGAAAAGCGGCTTGACTGACAGCTCCTGTTAGCCGACGCAAACAGATAGCAAGAAACCCTCCCCTACCTCGGACCTTCAAACAGAGCCCACCTGTCTCTTCGCCCGCGGCTTCTTCCGAAAAACCCTTCGCGGTTTAAATACTTAAAAGCCAAGCAAATTAAATGGCAATTAAAAACCAGTACCACCCGCTCCTTATCGCCACTGCTGGCAGTATCAGCTCGCCGGCAGCAGAAGGGAGATGCCAGGTGCCCACGCGCCTGCCTTCACCCAGGCGCGGCGACAACGCTCAGCGCAGGACCAGGCTGGCAGGCGCCTCGGCGCAGGCAGCGGGGCTGGGGTGCTTCTGCCGGGCCACCTCCCGGAAGGAACTTGGCCGATTGTAGTGAATCAATAGGGGGATTTGGAGGGGGGGCAGCTTTGATTAGCGTTCCACCAAACAATATAAAGTCTGTGGTACTGCCGGTATATTTATCCAGTGGAAAATGATCACCTTTCTCTTACAGATGTTCCACGTTCAATGTTATTTCCACTATATGTGTGAAACTGCATGTGCAGTACATAAATAAAACGCATCGCAACAGCACCCAGGTTTCAGATGAGTTCTTCCTTTGAAACGCTTTCTTAAACAAACAAAATGTGATTTCATTTAGGATGTCCCACATTAAAGAGTTAGCCTGTGGTGGGGGCCTCGTATCGATTCTGTTCTTTAAAACTAAAACAACTCGGCTAATTGGTTTTCTCTAATTTGGGGTGGAGGGGAGAAATTCAATTACATACAAAACAAATTTCCGCCCTGGTCAAAAGTGTGTGGGGGGGGGCGGGGAAGCAAATACAAAGCAAATACAGTGCGCTAAAAAAAGCAACTTACCCATTGAAAAGGATAGTTTAGCTTAAATTCATCTATATTGTTTGATGTAATATCTAGATCTTCCCAATAATATGAATTTTAAAAGGTCGGCGTGGAAGTGCTGAATGTGGGGATCCCACATTTGCCTAAGTACGGGTGAGAAAAAAGCGTTCTGAAAGAGCGAAGGGGAAAATGTATAAAAACGTTGAAAGAACCTCCAGTTCCTTATTAGGCGAAGATACAATATTTATTCCTTGTCTCCTGGGATGAAGCTGCTCTATCTATTGTCCTCCCAGTTCTCAGTGCTGATGCTTAATTTTCAAAACTTCTATATTACCAAGGGACCTACGACATCAGCCAAAGAAATACCCAGCAAGTACAAAATCTGATCCGGGGAGCCGCTTTTGTGCAGAGGGGAAAATTGTTCCTACAGGTTTTTAAAAGGCTTGTATGGCGGAAAAAGGGCTGGCGATCTCGACAAGCAGATTGGGGAACACTTTTGCATTTAGACAGAATATATATGTGTCTCTATTTTTTTCCACATTTGGGGGAAACGGGAGACGACGGCAATTTTTCTAATTTTTTTTTTTTTTAAGAAATTATTCTTGGTTTGATGGTGGCTTTGGTTCTTTTCTTTCCTTTTAAATTTGGAGAAGGGATTTAATTTTACGCCTCGTTCGAAGAACGCAAAATGTCAACTACCTTTCCAGGACTCGTCCACGATGCGGAGGTATTTGGTGTGTGTGGGCGCGCGTATGTGTGCGCGTGTGAGTGTGTGTGTGCGTGTATGCTTATGCATGTGTGTGTTCGAATGAGCCTCTATGTGCGCGCGTGTGTACGGCTGGGTTTTCTTCTCTTTCTCTCGCGCACGCTTTCTTTTTTGTGTATGTATGTTAATCCACATTGGACCGTTACATTTAATTATAATCCGGCTTCAGAAAGAACTTGGGGAAGTAAAGGGCGAAAATTCGTTATGACATCTGTCGCCGGGAACAGGCAAGGGGCAAACCGCTGCCGCATCCAAACGGCTGCCTGGACCAAAACAGACTGAGCGGCACGAGAATGTGCTCTGAAATGTTGGCAACGCTGGAAAAAGTAGTCCGAGAGACAGCTGGGAACTTGGGAGCCCAGCAACCCACAACTTCCCTTCAGATTGTCGGAAGGGGAGATTTGGGTATGGGCTTGTTACGGGACGGGACGGAGATCTTTTTAAACCAGACAGGGTAAAGGCGTGTCGAGAGCCTCGATACGGAGCAGTGGAACCTGCGCTCCAAAGTAAGGGGGCCTGCGCCTTTAGCCGAGGACTCAGGATCCGAAAAGGCGCCGGTTTGCTCCTGACACCAGCGGGGAACGGAGCGGCTTTTGTGTTGGGCGATTTCGCCAAAGCAACTACGGCGAACACGGGGAAAGAGCGACTTTTTGGCCAGTCGGTGTTGATTCTCGCTTTCAGGCGCAGGTTTTACTCCCCTCCACCCACCCACCCCAAAAAAAACATATTCACGCTTTGATTTTGTCTCTCTCCTTTAAAAAAACGAAACCAAAGCAAATGGTAGCTCAGAGCTGCCCAGCATCAGCCCAAGGTGTAGGCGAGGGCCAAGGCTAAGAAAACCGGGCTGGGGGCGGGGAGAGCGTTAGACAGGACGGGGTAGTTCGGGCCGCCCCGCTTTTTCCCCATGCCCGGCCTGCCATCCCTGGGTTACCTTTTTCCACCATTCTGCCTTTACAGATACGTCACGATGGATCAAACAGTTACCGTTTGATGCAGCTGGGATGCTTGGAGTCTGTGGCCAACTCCACCGTCGCCTACTCTTCCTCGTCGCCGCTCACCTATTCCGGCACCGGCACTGAATTCGCCACCCCCTATTTCTCTGCCAACCACCAATACGCTCCCCTACACCACCAGTCCTTCCACTACGAGTTCCAACACAGCCACCCGGCGGTTAACCCCGACGCCTACTCCTTGAATTCGCTCCACCACTCTCAGCAATACTACCAGCAGATCCACCATGGAGAACCCGCCGACTTCATCAATTTACACAACGCCCGGGCGCTCAAATCCTCCTGCTTGGACGAGCAGAGGCGCGAACTTGGGTGTTTAGACGCTTACCGCCGGCACGACCTCTCTCTTATGGGCCATGGCACCCAATATGGGATGCATCCAGATCAAAGGCTCCTGCCGGGACCAAGCCTTGGGCTGTCGGCCACGGGAGCGGACGATTTGCAGGTAAACGGCATGCGCTTCCTGGGCGCGCGGAATCGCCCCGATTCTTCTTCACTAACTCTCCCTCGCCTTTCCTGCCCTGGATATTCTAGCCCTTGCCCTGCCCACCCAGACTACGACTCCCTCGTCCGCAGCCCTCGGCCCTACAGAGAACCCAGTATAAGAGTCAGACAGGACTCGACCGAATGGCAGCCTTTCCCAGAAGGGGGGGGGGAATCCGCCCTCCTCCAGGGAACGTTAAACACAGGAAAGGTGAATTTCCTACTAAGTCCCGAAATAAGGAAACCGCCAAAGGATACAGAATAAGACCAGAGGTGTTAGTAGGTGAAGTAGCTCTGAAAGTAGTACCGGGTGTGTAACTAGATCTGAACTTCCATCCACTCACGAATCCAGCCAATTTCTTTTGCTTAATCTCTTCCTGGCTTTACGGCGACGGAAATTTGTTTCTATGGGCGCCTTAGACGTGTAAGCAATAAAGACCTCCCTACGTTTCGGTTTACCTCTCAGCTGTAACTATCTCGAAACACTCGACTATTTTTGCTTACACAAACCTATTTTTCCGTCGTAAAATGTTATTTCAGTACAGAGAGAGAGGGGGGGGAGGGAGAGAGAGGGAGGGAGGGAGGGGGAGAGGGGGAGAGAGAATGAATAATTGTCCCGGCTACATCTGATAAAGTGGATTCTAGTTACCGGGCTTGACACCGTGATCGTTTAAAGTCCTACTTTTCTTGTCACTATTTCCTCCCGCAAACTATACAGATTATACTACTTTAATATTAAATTATTCCTTCTAAAAATGTTTAAAAGTGGTTCTCTATTTTCAGTGAAAAACAGAAAAGAGTTTTTAAGCCGAAAGTGGAAACCGACGGGTTAACTAAATGCTAACTAAATGAGAGCCTCTCACACTCATACACGGCGGAATCTCCAGAAGAATAAAATCCTCAGGGGCCGTAAACTCCTTAAAACCTGACTTTCTTCGCTGAAACTCACTCAATAATTTTCTACGCGTCTGTTGCCCCCTTCCCACCCACCCCCGTTCCGTTTTCAACAAGAGCTTCCCTTATGTTCCTCCTTCTCCCAAATCTGCCATTCACTGTTTAGCTTCACTAAGACCTATTTACTCCCCCTTTTTATAACCACGTCTGCTGCTGATTTTTTAGCTGTACATTTTTTTTTCTATGCCAAAGCACAAAGCCTTGTATCTTTTTTCAAAAGAAGGGATTAGCGTCGTTTGCAAGGAAACCCACAATGCGTAAATCCTGGGCAAGAAAGCACCATAGTTTATCCAATTTTCGATTTAGTGCCATTCAACTGGTCACTTGTGCAATGTCATCCGACCAAACAACGTTCCCCCGCCAGCCCTTGACCCTCCCTCTCCCGGCTGGAGACAGCAGATTCATTTGGAAGAATCATTTCCATTTTTAAAAAAGTTTTTTTAATTGTTTCTAGCTAAGAAAGGAGGAAATAAGACCAATCTTCTCTCCTTTAAATAGGTATACTTTGTGTGTGTGTGTGTGTGTACTCATTGGGTATTTGACCTATGCAAGATTGTTAAAAAGCTCAGTTCAACAAAACGTTTCTCTGATTCTTCAATTATACTTGCAGTCTGGCCAACTTTCTAATCAGGATACAGAAATGCTGGTTTCTTTTGATCACGTCAGCATGACTACTTCCTTAGTTGCAAATCAGGAATAGAAGTATATAAAGAGAGACAGGACTCCTGTAACTTATTTCTGTAGCTTATAAGCTTATTGGTGCTTTGTTCATTTCACTTCCAGGTTTTATAGGAGCAAATAATCAGATTTATGACCTAAAGTGAAAGGACCACTCTAGAAGAGTGTTACTCTCAAGTCTTTCAGTCTCTTTTTCTTTTTTCATCTCCTCCCCCCTCTTCTTTTCCACTTTCCTCATCAACATATGTCTCATTTCTAATGCAACAAATGTAAATATACTTTCCCCTGCTCAGAATGTTAAGTGAAAGTCCAATAGTTTGGAAGGCTGTTTAAGTCAGCCTAACAGATGCAAGGATTCTTGAAACCACAGTGGACATCTTTCAGTCCCCTAAAAAGATTTTCCATGGGCAACAAAAGAAACTGTCACACCTTTTCCCATCATTGCTTTAATTTATGCTCAGTTGCCCAGTTTTGTCCATATTGATTTCATAATCACTTTAAGGCAGAACATTTAAACTGAAAAGAGGCCTTGGAAAAGGAGGGGTTTTTAGGCCAGCATCAAGATGGTGAAAGGGGGTGGGGGTGGGGTGAAGAAGGACCATAAAGATTGCTTTTGTAAAAGGGTTTTTCCGGGAGTGGTATTACGATTATTATGTACCAACTCTTTCTCCGCATGAACTTAATTCATCACAGACTGCTCTGTAGGTGAAACACCTTTAAAGGCTTACTCCATACTTAAAACCTAATTTGTTTGTGAAGGGAAGTGTGTGTTTTTGTTGAAATTTGCAGTACTGAAAAAGAATTGGGAGATGTAGCTGGACAGAGAATATAAGAACACGCCATGCACACACATAAGGAAAGATTTTGTTTCGGGTTTTTTTAAAAAAAATCAGAGTTCTCCCTTGAATCTTAAGACAGGCAGTGATGCTCATTTTATGTACTTCTGTGGGCAGTACCTAACCTTTCTTGGTCATTTTCCTGTTCAGCTTAGACTAGAACTATATTGTTTAGTTAGAAGCATCCATTTTTATATGGGTACATCCCTCCAACGTAACTCCATCCTTAGATCTGTCCATTGTCTTTCTCTAATTTGATTCACTGGTGGCAATTTTGTGACACAGAGATGCTACATTTCCAGAGGCCGTGCATATTTTATATGCACAAATAGGCAGAGAGTCACTTTCATTTTTATTGTTTCTTTTTTTTCCCCCATGTGCCAAATATCCCTTTGGCAAGTTCTGTCTGTGTCCATGCTACTCGTTTCCTCTTTGTCTGCCTGCCAATCAATCAGTCCGTCAAAGAACTGTCATATTTGAGAACAGAAAAAAGAAGAAGAAAAAGACAAGGCTTATTTGTTTTGGGCACAAGCTGTGCTTTTCTAAGGTGTCTCCTTCCCATCTCACAATTCCAAAGGAGAGTTATTATAGCCTTTGCAAAGACTGCAGCCTCTACTAAAATCCCAACCATTTCAGCCTTGCAGCTACTTATACATTTTACCTGTGTGGATTTTTGAATCTGGTTTTTCTCTTCTTTATTCAAGGGTTCGGTGGAGGCCCAGTGTGGGCTAGTATTGAATGGACAAGGTGGGGTGATAAGGAGAGGTAAGCACTTTTTAATAAATAAATATATATATATATATAGGCATATATCTCCTCTTCCCCTCCCACTAAAAAAAAATAATCAAGTTGTTTGCCTATCACCTGAAATTTGGGGCAAGTTTTGTGGGACAAGCCATGTGTCCAAAATTTAGTTTTAAAAAGCATTTGGGGATCTCAACTGCCTTTTGTATTCCTGTAACACTCTCTCCCCCTCCGCTCCCCATCGGTGGAATCTTGTAAGAAACCTCAGAAATCATACTGAGGGAAGAAGCAGGTTTAAGTGATATGTGCTGTTTGGAGGACTTTTGAATTCAGACATGGCCATACTGAAGTGGAAAATTCAAGAACGAAAGACATGCTCTGTTTGCGACTTAATGGTGATGTTGTTTGAACGTTTTCTCGCCTGCTGGCTCCATTTCACTGTTTGGTAAGTGTCTTGTAGCCTTCCAGTCGTGCTTCTGGCTGGAACAATTTGCACCAGAAAACAGAAAGCCGGGGAAGGAACATGATGACTGTTAGCAATTCAATCAATTCTATTTAAAATCGAAGGCAGTGTTTGCAAATGAAAATACTGGCAGGTGCAGGAAAAGTGCAGCAACTGTAACCAGTTGGGGAGGTTTCACAGTCCAAATTCTATATTCCTCTCATAATGATTTAAGTGTATGGAGATGTATTTGTTTGAATAGGAGGTGCCAGTATATGCTCTTATGTCACCATTATTTTAATAGGCACAAGAGTTACTTTGTCAGGATCGGAATGAAGGTGAAGGAAAATATCATAGCAGAACCTTATTCAACCTCATCATGCTGTGAAATATAATAAATTAATGAATAGACTAAAATGAAAGTAAATGAACAGAAATATATATGTTGCTTTATCGTGTTCTCCATTTGGCTCATGTATACAAATAAGCAAATTCCAGATTTGCTTTTGTAGTCTATATGTTATACATTCAGTTTAATGTCATTGTGGAAGAAATTAGTGGATTGAATTTTAATTTCTAGGAAGAGTGGGCCACAATGAACAAGGGGATTTAATTTAGACATTTAATGTCTAGATATAGATCTACAAAATCATGATTTTCATAAAAATAATATGAACTATGTTATTCTAAAAGAAGCACAAGCTGAGGCTGGCAATGAAATCTCCTTTAAAACCGTCAAACTTCCAGCCTTAATTGGGGAAAGATAAGGGGATAGCTTTTTGGTGCTGAAATGGACAGCGCCTTGATGAGACGTTCTCTATCGAAGACAATTCGTTTGACGGCTTTGGTAACTACGCCTTCAAAGTCGAGGTTGTATGGATCTCTCAGGTCTCTCGGCTTTAGTCCTTGGAACAGTGGGAATCTACAAGGCTTATTCCTGTTATGGCTTTGCATGTTGTATTTCCCTAACTGCAGGCCAATGGAACTATCCATTCTAAATCACAATCTCAATTGTAAATTCCTTCCTTCTTTCCGGCTTTTGATCCTCTGCATCCAAGGTTTTTGTTTTTGTGTTTGGAGTTCCACAAATAATTTTATTTGTGGCGTCCTGCGGTTAAACTACATGAACATTGGAAATCAATAGGAAAAGGGAGTGGCTTAAGAATAAAATACTTTTTCCAAGGGTTAGTTGCAGTTTAGATATGAAAGAAAGGGTCATTTATCTGGCATAAGCCACTTGAAATAATTAAAAACGACTTCTTCATTCTCAGTGAAATAACTATTTCCCACCACAGGAGGGAGGGATTTTGAGTTTCTAGGAATTCAATATATCAGAGATAAACAAATGCTTTTGTCTTTTGGGCTAGATCATTACTGCCAAATGATAAAGAAGTTGTGTTGCCTTCAACTGAGGTGCTGCGCTTGTATCGCCTGACTGCACTCTAATCTCCCATTTGAAGGAGATTTTTCACGTTGAGTCCTTCGGATGCAATTTCTTTAAACTCTTTCCTGGTAATTACTAGAACTACTGATTGCAGGAAAGAAAAACTGTACTCCCTCTTTCTTTCCCTCTCTACTCCCTCTTCCTTTTAAAATGTAACTGAATTATTCAATGATATAAAGAATGATAATGAAGAAATCCTATCTGAAAATAGAAAGCTGTTTCTTGACTAATCTTAAAAAAACTCATGCTCTGGCTCCATGAGCCACTCATCTGCCTTCCTAAGGAAGACAGCGCTGTATGTTTTAAATGTGTGCCTAAAATGCATAATAAATACTGTATATTTTTTTAAAAAACATGATAGAAATAATCATAACATTTAGACTGATCATGAAATTTTTAGTATGGAATCATCCAGATTGTCGCCACTCTGCCCACTAATACTTTAAAACATATAGCTAGGGGGCCATCTTATATTTTGAACTCTTTGTTAGAACTCTCAAAGGCAGGTTAGGATTATTTGAAAGAAGGAAGGTACTGTAGCTTTTAGAAGGCATATGGTAGGAAAGAAAGAAAAGAAGACAACGCTTTCACTTAGAAACCAACAGGAGGAAAAGAGAGGGAGAGAAAAATCTTGTTTGGTTTAAGAAAAACAAGTAATTTGAATTCCCAATTTGGGGGGGGTGGAAGAAGGATACAAAGACTTGGCTTTAGAAACGAATAATTATTAAACAGATGGGGGAACTGACAAGAGTGAAGCATAAGCTACTCATGCGAAATAAAATGGTGGGATATGATAGTGGAGACGATTTTACTCCGGATTTATCTTGGCTCTGGGCTGCTGCACATAGGATTTTCCTGTGTTCTTGGAAACCCACTTTCCAGGGGCCCCAGCACCTCCATCCCACCCAAGAAGCTGCCTCCTGCCCGTCTCTTCCTGTGACTTGACTGGTCCCGACCCCGCAATTCCTGGGTTTTTTTGGCTTGGCCAGTTTGTTGCTTTCAGGAGAGTCGGGACTGGAGGACGTTTTCTTTTTGAAGATTGCAGTGGGGGAGGGGCGATTGGGACGGCAGGGCTTCAATGTTGGCGAGCTAATTACCAGCCAGCGCCAACAGTAGCCACTGATTAGGTGGCCCAGCTCCCACCGCTATCACTTCCAGTTAATGACGTGCAGGATTTCGCCTGGAGCTCAGCTCCTTGCACCATCGCAACCAATAATCTTTACTTTACCTGCTGCGGGCCTATCGATAGCTTCTCTAGCCGCAGGCATCAAGCTTTGATATGGTAATCTTTCTGAGGACCCAAATTCTGCAGAGATCATATTAATGTTGTACATACAGACTGGCACAGCTTTGCTTTAAAAGTTGAATATTCAGATCGGTTGTTTCAAAAGGAATCACTTGCAAAGATACGAATTTCCTATTTACAGAAGATGCCTGAGATTTTTAATCACAGTGGAGGTGTGAAGTGTGTGTGTGTTTGTGTGTGTGTCCGTGTGTGTCCCCTCCAGCCATTCCCCCCTTTCTCTTCTCTTCTCTTATTTAAAAAAAAAAACAAAAAAGTAGTCTCAAGAAAGAAAGGGGGGGAGGGGGAGAAAGAAAGAAAGAGAGAGGGGGGGAAGAGAGAGAGAGAGAGAGAGGGAGGGAGAGAGAGAGAGAAAAGAAAGAAAGAAAGAAAGAAAGAAAGAAAGAAGAAAGAAAGAAAGAAAGAAAGAAAGAAAGAAAGAAAGAAAGAAAGAAAGAAAGAAAGAAAGAAAGAAAGGGAGGGGAGGGGAAGACAGGCCAATGATGATACTTAGCCCTCCTATGTCGTTTTATGAAATGGCAATCTCCCTCCCCACCCCCTCCCCTCCCCAAAAAAAGAAAGGGAAAAAAAACCCTGCCTCTTGTTTCACTTTGTGATCGTCTATCTTTCCCTGCCCCAGGCTAATTTCAGCAGCTTAAATACTGCTATCGCCTCTGGGCCAAAAAGAAAAAGAAAAAGGGGACCCGGGCTATCCACACTGTCTCTTTCCCCGATTGCCCTTGGCAACGTGAAATACAAACTACTTTGAATCAAAACATTTTGGAGAAATTAATATGATCTGAACTCTTCCCGTTTTAAGAGATCTTGAGTTTGTCAAATCGCTTAGAGGTGACTGACATGAAAAAGCGGAGGTATTAATGCAGAGCTAGGAACATTGTCAGATCTTATTTGATTAAAAAATATCTTTTAAAAAAAGGCGTAGAAAAGGGCTGCGCATTAGTCACCACAATGCAGTCTATCCAATAAAGCACCTCTTTGGACAGCCCCCTTCCCTGCCTTTGATGTGTTTACTTAAGGCTCAGCCTATTCGGTTTTGATTGTATACCTTTGATCTACAATTTTAATTTGAGGCACTTAATTATGAAAACTAAGCCTAATGGTTATTCGGGATGGCGGGGAGAGGGTGGAAGAGGGGGAGAGGAAAGGGAATTAAGGGATTTTTTTCAGCATGAGGTGGACTACAGCTCCAGGGGGCAATATCTCAGACCAAGCATTTTATCAACATTTTTTTTTTTTGGCTTATGCGTTCATTCTGATAGGATATAGCGCGACGATGCATCCCATACGCCGTATTGGGAAAAACTCAGCTTTTCCTCTCCGCCGCCCCCTCGGGCGTGTAAAAGAAAGGGTTAAGAAAAGGACGCAAATTGGGCAGGAAGGGGCAGCAGTTCGTGGGTTTTCACTTAAAAGAAATTTGGGCGCAGTTTTCCCTCCAAATCAGGGCTGGAAAGAGAGAGAACAGCTGATGGCAGAGTTGAGGTTCGAAGTGATCCTGCGCCTGTTTTCTCGAAAATCTATGCCTAGTTCCTCGCGAGTAAGGCTGGCAGGGCCAATTCGCGCAGGTACACCAACGCCGCCCCTATTGCTTTGTGCTTTTGTTTCTTTCCCCAGATTTCGGAGCCCTTTTACTCTCAAGATACTACACACAAGCTGTGCAGGCCGCCCTTTTATTGCCCGTTTTGTAAAGAATGCTCGCTCTCTCGCTCTCTCTCGCTCTCCCCTCTCTCCCTCCCTCTCTTCCTATCTCTCCCTCTCTCTCGTTGGGTTGCGCGCTTTCTCTTCTTGCCCCATCGCGACCCTTCTTTCCTCCCCTCCCAATTTAGCGCTACACT